TTTTTTTTTGTGCGCCAAACTGAGTGTTAGACGTGTCAAGTTATGTGCAAATGTGTTACTTCCAAATAAATGACTTTTTTTAGGCTTTAGCAGTTAGCATAATGCCCTTTGTTCAATGACAGACGAAACGAAACCTTGCAAACACAGCTAAACACGTGAAAGTTTAAACTCGACTCATCCGTTGATATAAACAAACCGAGCTAAACATTGAATCGGGTTTTTTATTAAAACAAATTGTATATAAAATATAAATTGGGAAATTACATAAAACATGTCTATTTAAAATCAGTACACAACATGTACGGTGCACGTAACTGATAATAAATTACACTATATATATTCAAAATAATTGTCATTTTAAAATTTTTATCCAAAAATTAGATTTGACTACAATGTGATTCAATTAAATAGTTGTTTTGGTAAAATTATATATTTGAATTGAGGTTCATAGAATGAGTAAAAACAATAGTAAGAGTAATTAAAATAAAATTTTGGTTGGCAGGTATTATGTTAGTGATAAACTATTATAGTTGTCCAACTATTAATTTAATGTTTTACCTCTTTTTTTTTTAATTTCTTAAACAATAGTAGAAATCAATAATTTTAATCTATTTTATGGAATATATAAATGACGTTCTGCAATTTTTTTTTTTTTATAATGTATCTTCTAACTTGATATATTTTTCCAACTCAAATTATTTATATGTATCTACATACAAAACTTGACACGTAATTTTTTTTAAGTTCACTCAACATTTTACAGCATGCAGAGACCATATCCTCCTTATATATAATTCCAGAATGCGTTGAGCTTACGTGGCTGCTTCTGGTGCTTCGTAATCCTATTTGGCGAAGAATCATGCTTCGTAATTAGGTTTAGACAAATAATATTGATATATTAATAAATAATAATTTAGATTTGGACATTCCATAAATATTATTTAGCTAACTTAGGTATTTTAATATCAATTGTACTAATATAACCCTTTAATTCTTTGTATTTTACATAGTGAGACACTAAGTGACTAATGTATCCCTGACTTTTGATTTGTTTCCTTCAATTAGCTATTGAATTGTAAATGTACTTTAAAATTTGATAACTTTTGTATTTCTTATCGGTTTTACATATATAATATATTAAATTAATCATCTTTTGATGATCTTCGATTTGACATCCATATTGTATATATGAAATAAATAAATCACATTTATCTTTATAATAATAAAAAATCATAATATTTAATAAAATTCATTAGGAAAATAAAATTGTTTCTCAATTGATATATTTATGTTTAATATAGTTATTTGTTGTAAGTTAAAAAAATTATTATAGTATAACACATGTAAGTCATTAATAAAATTATTTCTCGATTGATATATTTATGTATAATGTAGTTATATGTTGTTGGTTAATAAAAATTAATATAATATAACACATGTAAGTTGCACAAAAAAGTGTCATACTAACTATATAATAATATATATATTTTTATAAAAGGTATTTAAGTTTTCAACTATTTTTTTTTATTAATTTTATATTATAAAAAAAATTAGCACACACCCGTGTAATACACGGGCGTAAGGCACAGGGCGACAAAGCCCCTGGGGAATCTGCCCGAAATGTTGTACTAGTTCAATTTTAAATTAGAAAATCATAATTTTATAACGAATCAACCTAAAATTCGACTTTCATATTCATACCAAATAAAATCCATACTACTTATTTTGTTTTCAAAATTTTCAAATACACTTATATCCGTATCAAGTAAATTTCATACCATTTAAATTCCAACATTCCATACCAAAATAAAGTCGCCTACTTTATACCATAAAATTCATACATTTATTAATAACAACACATTAAAAGAAAACAAACATTTTTTTACCAAAAATAAAATAATAATCATATAACTCAAATAAAATTGTTCACTATATACTAAAATTGAATCTATTAATTTTGCCAACTTTATAGCACAAATTGATTAGTTAATTTTTAGAGGCGAGTTTTTTCTTTTTAATTTAAAAAAAAATACCAAATTAGTAATTATAACATTTTTAGACGGAATTTTAATTTTTATTTTAAATATATATATATATATATATATATATATATATATATATATATATATATAGTTGAGATCATATGAGAATGGTAGGTAGTGAAAGAAATAGGAATAAACCTATATTATTGGATATTACATACCAATGGTCATGATCAAGTCAAATTTTAATAAGTGATAGTCAAATATGCGATGGCAATTCGTAAAAGTAGACTTATAAAGGTTAAATATATGAATTTGTCCATTAAATAAGGATAAATTCGTCATTAATCACCATCTCACGAAACTATGGGACCCACCACCCAATTCAATATCTCTCACGTGCCCCCACCCCCCTTCTCTCACACACTTCACACACACTCTGAAAGTGAATTCCTAAATACCGCCCCCTTTTTAATATTTACCGTCCCCGAAAAGTGTAAAAATTCCCTCAACCCACACTCTCTCTCCCTTCTCCTCTCTTTCTCTCTCTCGAATTTGCCACTTCCGACGTTCAAAAAAATTCTGAAAAAATGTCGGCACCACCACGATGCGGAGGCAAGGGATTCTTCGTTCGATCAGCACGTTTTTTTTTTTTTAATTTTCGATCAAAATTTTT